CAGGAGCTATGACTCAACCCCTGCAACCACAAAAAGGTGAGTACACACACACACACAAACACTCTCTCTCTCTCTCTCTCTCTCTCTCTCTCTCTCTCCTCTCTCTCTCACACACACACACACACACACACACACACACACACACTCGGGGCCAGGAGCTTGGACTCGACCCCAGCAACCTCAACTAGGTGAGTACACTCTATCAATCATGCTCACTCTCACTCTCACACACTCACACTCACTTGCTCACTCACTATTACCCAGCTCACACTCCAACAGCTCATCAGGTCCCAAAAATCATTCGCCTCCATTCACTCCTATCTAACACGTTCATGCACACTTGCTGGAAGTCCGAGCTCCTCGCCCACAAAGCCTCCTTTACCTCCTCCCTCCATCCTTTCCTAGGATGACCTCTACCCCTCTTCTCCACTGCTGATTTAGACACCTGTTTTCTAGTTTATTGGATCATTCTTGTTAGCTGGGAGTAAATGGTAAAGGCTTCAGAGGCTTCTTACTTTATTTGCAATATCTGGGTACACAGGCAGTGTGTTTGTGCCCATGAGGGAGAGAGGAGTAGGCCTTGTTGGCTGAGTGAAGGCCACAGAGAGAGAGAAAGAGAGGCAGGGGTAGGCAGGCTGACATGCCCACTGAGAGGCCTGGCCTCTAGTGGAAACGATGGGAATTAGGCATGTAGGCTCATTGGCTACATTACACTCGGCCACCTACCACATGATCGACCGCGACCATGACTGGGGGTAAAAAAAAACTCGGTCTCTCTCTCGCAGGAACAGGGCACAGAACACAAAATGAAAAGATATATATATATATATATATATATATATATATATATATATATATATATATATAAATATACATATGGACATGGGAACAAAAATTTCCTGCAGGGAGGGAAGAAAAAAAGGTGGGGGTGTGCTAAAAATAAACATAGTGGTCATAGGCAGTGAGCGACAATAGGCATCACTGCACACCTTCGTGCGTCTGGACAGATACTGCAACACAAGAGACATAGCTGTGGCTGAGCTGTGACGTAACAGGGTATGGTCTCCTCTGGAACGGTGAAACAGTCATTGTAGTAGTCGCTGCAGGGTTCACTCATCCTGGGGCACAACCTGCTGGTGCCCTGAAGTGAGGCGTCGTTAATACTCGGCAACTGGGAAGGACTTCTTCTGGCAAGCAGGACACACGGAAAACTGCACACACCCACACTGCACATGTGGTACAACATGGCTTACTAGCAAATGACGCTTTTTTGTGCAAAAATCAACACTAAGCTATACACGAACATGTGAGAACACTGAGAGGAATTAATTAACACGACACATCTTCTCTCGGTCTTCACGACAACACAACATATTGCTCACTGTGAAACTAACACTGTCGATATAACATCATATGGTGATGTCAGGCGTGACGTCGTGAGGTGATGTCATGGGGTGACATCGCGAGGTGACATCAGCAAATGTCTCGAGGCGACATCCTAGAGTGAGATCATGAGGGATGTCAATGGATGACATCGCAAAGTAATGTCAGGCAGATATCATGAAGTCGGGCAGCATCATGGGTGACATCGTGAAGTCAGGCAGCAGATTACAGTGTGGCTGGCGATCTGGCTTAACCCACATTGCTTGTAGATCCACGTGGCTTCGTGATCAATGTGGCTTCGTGATCAATGTGACTTTGTCCACACGTGGCTTCGTGATCCACGTGGCTTTGTCCACACGTGGCTTTGTGATCCACATGGCTTTGAGTGACTTCAGGCACTCGGATACACAACTCTGGCAAAGAATTCACAGAAACAGCAGAGGGAGTGAGAGCAACGGTGAGTGGTGTATGGTGTGGTGTACAGTAGGGTGAGTGTGAGTGAGGCAAGGATCGGCCACTTCCTCCTCTCCCACCCATAAACATGGGGAGAAACACTCACACTGGATGCAGAAATCACCACAAACTAACCTCTGACTTGGTGAAATAGCCGTGCTGAGCTGAAAAACAACAGCAACGTACAAGTCATGCTGAACATGTGACTTGAGAAACAGCGTGGAACACTGTGGCATGGGGTCCCAAGGATGCCACTTGTATTTCTCGAAGAAATTCGGCAAATTTCGGCCTGGATCCTGAGTGTACCTGTGTCTGGATGCTGAAATGTGCAGACACAGCATCAGGATTACTCGTTGAGACAGATGCCTCTTGTGTGGGGTGATGAAGTGAAGACGACTTCATTCCTCTTCCTTCCTCTCTCCAGGCAAACACACTTGCTGCGATGCAATGCTGTCACCAATGTTTTCTAGTTTATTGGGTCGTTCCTGGTAGCAGGGAGTAAATGATCAAGGCTTCGGAGGCTTCTTACTTTATTTGCTATATCTGGGTACACTGGCAGTGTGTTTGTGCCCATGACCCCAAGGGGGGGGCATGCCTACGAGGGAGATAAGTAGGCCTTGCTGACTGAGTGAAGGCTGCTGAGAGAGAGGGAGAAAGAGGCAGGGGTAGGCAGGCTGGCATGCCCACTGAGAGGCCTGGCATCTGGTGGAAACTATGGGAATTAGGCATGTAGGCCCACTGGCTACACACCCTCCAAGTCATTCTATTTTGCTCCATCTTCATTAAATATCCAAACCACCTTAATAACCCCTCTTCACCCTTCTAAATAATAATTTTTGTAACTCAACACTTCCTCCTAATTTGCACACTATGAATTCTCTGCATAATACAGCCTCTCCTCACTTAGTGATGTACTTGTTTGCCGACAACTCGGACTTACGACTGGCTCTCTGACCAGTATGCATACTTAAATAATGTATATTAGAGGTGATTTCTTCTATTCTGTTTATTACAATATTCATTACATTACTGTATAAACATTTAAAAATATACTAAAAATGTTGTATATGGTGCATAGGTGACATTAAAACAGTATCAAAGATGGTAGACACAAACCCACTACCATTAGAGTATGCTCCTTGCTTAGTGATGATTTCGTTTACTGGCGTGGTCTTAGGAATGCAACTATGTCATTAAGTGAGGAGAGGCTGTATTTACACCATACATTGCCCCTAGACACATCTCCACTGCCTCTAGCCTCCTCGCTGCAGCATTCACAACCCATATAAGAGTGTTGGTACCATTGTACTCTCGTACATTCCCTTGCCTCCACGGATAACTTTTTTTTTTTTCTCCACAGACACCTCAATGCACCACTCACTCTTTTTTTCCTTCATTAATTCTATAGTTAACCTTATCCTTCATAAGCCCATCTGCTGACAAATATATACAGTGGTACCTCAGGATATGAACAATGCCTGCACTCTAAAGGAGGGGTTTGAGATATTGGCAGTTTGGAGGGGTATATTGTGTATTTTTATACATATATACTTCTAAACTGTTGTATTCTTAGCACCTCTGCAAAAACAGTGATTATGTGTGAGTGAGGTGAAAGTGTTGAATGATGATGAAAATATTTTCTTTTTGGGGATTTTCTTTCTTTTTGGGTCACCCTGCCTTTGTGGGAGACGGCCAACTTGTTGAAAAAAAAAAAATTATGTAAGTGCTTTTGTAAGTGTATTTTTGGGGGTCTGAAACAGATTAATCTAATTTACATTATTCCTTATGGGAACAAATTCATTCGGTATCGGCACTTGAACAGCCTTCTGGATAAATTATGTTCATATCCCAAGGTACCACTGTATGTATTTTTACACACACTGGCTGTCTCCCACTGAGGTAGAGTGACCTGAAAAAGAAACTTTCACAATCATTCACTCCATCATGGTCTCTCCAGAGGCAAGCCATTACTACAGTTTAGATGCCCCTCCAAACTGCAAATATCCCTACCTCTCCTTCAGAGTGCAGTCATTGTACTTCTCACGTCCAGGACTCAAATCTGGCTAACCAGTTTTCCTGAATCCCATTGCAGAATGTTACCTTGCTCACACTCCAAGAGCTTGTAAAGTCCCAAAAACCATTTGCCTCTACTCCTGTCTAACATGCATACACATGCCTGCTGGATGTCCAAGTCCTTCACACAAAGCCTCCTTTGCTTCCTTATGGCAGCAATTCAAATGGTGATGGCAGATGTGTTTACTTTTTTTGGGGGGGTCATCTTGTTTTGATGGGGAATGGCCAGTGTATTAAAAATTTTATTCACATTGAATTGCCAAGCAAAACTTGAAATACATATTTTATTCCTTATCATTTATTATGGGGAGACTACTAAGTAACTAAGTACAAAATATACTTATTTTGCAGTGATTAGGGAAATTTTTGAATCACAGAGACCATCACCACCTAAATTCCAGCTTAAGGGTCAGTCCTGATTCAGCATACATAATAAAAATCCATTACAGAATGGAAGAACGAAAATGACTAGGCAGAAAGTGGTAGGTAGACCTTCAGTTAATAATTCCTGAGGTACAGTAGTCCAGACCTAGTACCAAAAAATATTTTTCATTCATCAAAATGTGGTAATGTGTAGCATATAATGTACATTGATCAATAAGGAACTCTAAGAGCAGAGACTTAAATACAGTAGTAAAGAGGTTTGGCTGTACATAGACCATTTGTAAGGTGAAACAATCAAATCAAGCAAAAAAAAAATTTCAGTTGGGAGGGGAGCTTCCTAACCTCAGGAAGGGTTTTGCATTTGGTGAAGTATTCATCAAGGTTTTACATCACACATTTCAAAGTAGCGCTGCATTAACACAATATACGTTTGTGGAAAACAGTTTTCTCCGCTCAACATAATTCTTAACATTTAATTATCCTTGTGATGGTTTAATGCATCCCTACTTATGTAAAGTAAATTTATAAATCCCTGTCACATTACAATTTACACATGAACTGATAATTTTTGCCTACCACTAAAGCACTTCCCTTGTAATAATGAACGCCATAAGAAATCAGTAACACCTTTGAAAATGGGATTCGTAATGTGATCCCTTAACAAAGAAAGCGGTATGATGTTAACCGCGTTCGCCCCCTATCTTCAGACGGGCGTCGTTTAGTACTGCCGGGAACAAGCAACCGCGGAGCCATGTCGGTGGCCTCCCCAACTTCCCTTCTGCTCTTCTTGCCCCTCTTCTCTATGCGTAACTGTATGTATGAGGCCAGAGAACTGAACAGGTGAACGCCTAGGCCTACGCTCTGGCCACAACTCTCCATCCTCTTTAATCAGAGGCAGATTGTTAGTTGGTGAAGAGCGTGGGCCTGTTTATACTTTCCACCTTTAAGGCTCAGTCGCTAGCACGCTCGCATGGTGTGGCGTCCTGTTGTTCTTCATCAAACTTTTATTTACTTACTATATTAATTTGTTTCATTTTGCACTTTTTCTGCTACTGTGTTGGTTGAGTTTCATTTGAAACCCACAATATTATAGTTTGTCTAACTTTTTTCTCCATAATTTGTCAGA